TTTTATGTGTAAATTTAACATTTATTTTGTTAAATTAACACAAAAAAGTGTTAAATATTTAACATAAAAATTTTTAACACAAAATTGTTTGCCGCTATGACGCGAAATTTTTTACTGTGTATAATTAATTATTGATAATTAATAAATTAAGTATAGAACTCCGTTATCTATAAGGATAAGTCATGTATAAAATTTAAATTACTTTAAGTAGTTTGAAAGATACACGAGTGTTACGATTAGTCATTGGGTCAACAGGTAAAGTATCAGTCTGGAAAGCGCAACGTACATGGTTCGAATCCCCGTCGGCACCAATCTTTTTTTTTTTTTTATGGACCTGATCGAGTCAGACATGAACAGGTCTGATCAGACATGAACATGCCTGGCCAGGTCTGATCAGACCCGGTCATTTTTCAGATCTGATCAGACCTGAAGACTCATGCCTGTTCATATCTGATCATTTTTTCCCGGGTCAGCCGAATTAGCTAATTTCCGTCGGCTAAAAACCGTTCAATTGCATTTATTTTATTATATAAATAAAGTGTGCCAAAAAAAAATTCATTTTTGAAAATTAGACAATTTTTTTTCAATTAATAAAAAAAATAGAAAAAAAATCGGCCCACTCCCAGATAAGCGGGAATAATTGTAACATTGATTGAAATTTTTTTTTTGCGAAAAAAAAAAGAAAATAAAAAATGTCGAACTTCGAAAAAATAACTATTTTATTTAAAAAAAATTGATAATTTCATAGAGTTAATGATGTTAAATTTTTTTTGTCCATTTTTTCGACAAATTCATTTAAAAACAAAAATTTAAAAAAAAAGGTACCAAAAGTTCAATTTTTGACAAAGTTATGACTATTTGAAAATAAAAAAGTTATTTTTTTAAAAAATTCATAACTTTCTTAGAGTTGGATGATAAAATTTGAAAAATTCTCAAAAGTGTTTTTCAAAGGGCAGAAAAGAATGGAAAATTTTTGGCCAGATCGAAAGAAGTCGGGTTTAAAAGTGGTCGATTTGATATGGAATACCCTATATGTATGTAATAAAAAAAGCTGTCAAATTGTCAATTCAAATTCGAAATATTATCTTTGGTACGTTTGAAATCCAAAATTTTTATAATTTTTAACTTATGGAAATTGAATGTTTTTATCATCACTCTAGTTTACCGGCTTTATTAACTTTTCGACTTGCCATGGCTGAAAGTAAAGGCAAATCCTAGATTTCTTTCAAATAAAATGTTTGATTAAATTAATAAGATTGATGCGAAAGTTCAAAAACTTTTCAAACTCGTGAAAATTAATTTCTATGACTAAAAGAATTATTTTTAGGTGAAGATAAAATTTTTCTACTGTAAGTTACTTTTTCCTCAGCTCAGAATCGATTTTTTTTGTCTAAAAACTGGTGAATTTTATACTTATTACAATAAATTTATTGAACTATTATTATTATTATTAATTCTGGGAAAGTTTAAATCAAAAAAAGTAAATTTGAGTCTCTCAAAGGCTAGGATAGCAGAAAAAAAAATTAAAACTGTATTAGAATATTGACAATAGTACAATTAGTATGTAATTGCATAAAATATGTAGACAATTATTTTTTTATCGATTTTATCAACCGTGATTTTATTTAATTCTTCAAACCCCGTTATCACCTATCGGTCATTTTCATGCTAGTATAAATCTAATTTTCAAGTGGATGGAAATTTCCATCTTCACTAACAATTTGAGACAATTCGTCTTCGGATAGTTAGGTCGATGGTAGCAGATACTAGCATTCACCAGCTAACTAGTATTCAAGTTCGATGGTTGCCCATCGACCTAACTATCCGAAGACGAATTGTCTCAAATTGTTAGTGAAGATGGAAATTTCCATCCACTTGAAAATTAGATTTATACTAGCATGAAAATGACCGATAGGTGATAACGGGGTTTGTAGACAATTATCTTTCTTTATGAAATTTTCGGAATCTATTTTATCGATTTAAAAATTTTTTCAAAACAAATTAATCTTCAATTTTGCAAAGATTTTTTTTTCTGGAGGAAACTATGAATCAAAAAATATTCTTAACCCGGTGGATGAAAATACAAATTTTTGCTGAATTCTTTAACTATGAATTTCGTACGTAAAATATAAAATTGATTTCATTTGGTTTTAAAAATTTACACAGATATAAAAAATATGCATTTTGAAAATTCGTTCGATCGCTCTTTCAATGCATTATTAACAACTCTGTTAAAAATAATTACTATAATTAACATTTTACATTCATAAATGTGGAATTGTAGCCGCTTGTTTTCAGATCACATGGGCAAAGCACTGCGAGTACCTTACCTCGAAAACGACAGTACTCGCAGTGCCAATATGGCGGCGATTTATGACGTCATATATTTCCCTAGGGTACTGCGGCAGTATACTGGCAGCCCATAACGGAACGAATTTTTCAGCAGTGAGAGCACTGTGTAGTGCTCGCAGTGCATATCGGAACATACCCATAGAATACATTCATTTTCACCTTTGCCTAAGTTCACACACCTTCTCGCTCCCAGTTTGGCCAACGCATTTTCTCCTCCTTAACTACGGAAATATACAGAGTAGATGCGTATGATAAATTCCTTTACCAGGCATTAATGCGGGCGATTTTACTATAGTCAACCTAGCGGCTATACAACAAACTTATACTGAAATGTTGTATAATGAAAAACTGTATTGAGTTGTAGTCAGTTACCTCTTTCTTGCTCTCATTAGCATTTTGCAAGAAATCTGATACAAAACTAGAGCAACTTTTAACAGCTTTTTCGAGTCTTACTGTACTGACATTACCCCAGCCATTAATGGTCCTCACTGTATGTACAGAAGTCGAATTAACTCATATCATGATGGAAATCATCAAGTTTTTTACTAAAATGACAACTCTGCTATCTTTCGGACAAAAGTTTAGATTATTTCCCGCGGAATTATTTTTAATTTAAAACATTATCACTACGGTAACTTTATTCTTTTAACAATTGACAAAGTGAAAACTTTTTTAAAACCATAAGATGGCGCATTAAAATTACAGTAATAGTAACATTCAAAAATAATAATAATAATAATAATAATAATAATACCCCATTTGAGTACCGTAGGCATAACCAGAAATTGTATGGTGATAATTTTGATTCGAAGTTTGAATTAAAATTATCATTGGAGATAAATTTAATTCAAAATTGAAATAAAAATTCTCATTGGAATTTATATTAATTCAAAATTGGAATTAAAATTATCATTGGAGATAATTTAAATTCAAAGTTGGAATTAAAATTATCATAGGAGATAATTTTAATTCAAAGTTGGAATTAAAATTATCATTGGAGATAATTTTAATTCAAATTCGGAATTAAAATTATCATTGGAGATAATTTTAATTTGAAGTTGGAATTAAATTCATCAATATGAATCATTTAAAAGTAGCAACGTGAATGAAAAAAAAATTTAATTGCTACATTCTTTTTAATAGTGAAAAAGTACTAAGTAATTTTTTTTTCAGTCAAAATTTTATTACGATTTAAGCTTTTATAAATATGAAGATGAATTATTTTACTTCATATTTTTTTTTATTATATTTTCAATGGCACCTTTTTTCAGTTGTAACGTGGTAAATTTTTATTCGACGCCCAATACTTGGGGTATTTTAATATTCCAGGCTCGAATCCAACGTCGTGAATGTTATGTGTGAATGAATGAAAATTGTACTAATTTTTATGAATTTATTTTGTGTAAAATGCGTAACGCTGGACGAGTAACGAAGACAGAGCGAGTCACAGTGGGTACGAGGCTATGCATTGGAGCGACAAGGATGGAGCTACGACGTAAACAAGCTAGTACCGAAGCGAGTACCGAAGTGACGAGGCACCGAGCGCCGTAAACACCCGAGAGGCCTGGATACCGATCGACGCTGCAGTGCCGCTATTTTCCAATACGACGATCAACATCGATGACAGTTGGTTAGTCAGTGCTGCAGGAGCAGAGGTGACTAAAAACTGTTGTGAAGGTCCGTTGACTGTTATACGGACCTAGATCAACTATCGACGGGGATCAATTCCAATGGAAATGAAGACTAGGGCTGCCAACTTCAATGAAGGAAGAAGTGGGTACTCCTCCATGAAGAAGACCATTCGAGGCTGGACTGTCGACGGAAACGGACGCGCTTTTGCGCGCTCCGCAACCTAAAATTAATTTCGAAGTATTGTCGCGATTTTGCTTATTTGAAGTTAATTTGTAACTTGCTGTAAAGTATTGATTTCTAATTTTATTATTTATTTGAGTCGACCGCACGAAGCTTTCCAAGCTGCTACGATGACGACGCTCAATTTCTTGGTAAGCCGACGTTCTTGTTCAGTGTTGAATCCAGCGTTTAGAATCCACGTTGTAATTATGTGAAATATTTTGAGTAACAAAATAATACGCGAGGATTCAACGCTTTACGATTATTTTTTTTGTAATGCTGTTATTACATAGAGTGATTGCTGATGTATGAATGTGAGAGTAAGAATTGAATGAGATAACGACGTTTATTAATTTTAATTTTGTTAAAATTGAGTGCAAATTTAAGTTACGACGTTTAATAATTTTTGTTAAAAAATTAATATCGACCGCCGACATATATTTTGTTGAATAAATTGTTATTTTTTTTAATTTTTCTGAATTTATTTCAAGTAATTTTAAGAATTTCGTTTGTTTTGCTGTCTTATTTTTTAACGACGAGTATTTCAGCATGGCCTGCCGCCCTGAAGAAGAGGTAATAGCTAGCCGAAGTCGAAGCAGTAATTAGTTGGAGATCATTCTCCTGGCGCCCTTTTATTAATGATAATTTTTTTTAAGTAAGCCAAATTTTAATATAAACGGTGAGCCTGGCTTGGTAAATCCCCGGGTGAGGCGAAATCCCGTTATACAGTATGAAACATATTAAACAATTAATTTACTCTTTACAAAAAAATGTGGATTTAATTGTGGAGACAATAATTAATTTCTCTCTGCAACAAATCGCTGAAGATTTAAAAAAAATAAAAATAAAGCGTGACAAATATACATGGACATAATAATAATTGTTGGAATTATGATTTTCGACATAATGCTAATTTTTAAAATGATATTTATAAAATACAATTTTCATGACCAAAATTATGTATTATTATTTACGCATCGTTTTTTTTTTGTTCAACGGAACTTTGGTTACATTAAAAAATTGTCCATAAAATTCCCATGAATAATTAGTATTATTTTTCTAAAAATAATTGACAATTTTATGAAGGATTTTTTTCATCTATTGAATTATTATTATCTGCATAATTAGAATTCATGTTAAATAAAGTGTAAAAAAAATTCTGTGTATCTTATCATGTAAACCAATAAAAAAATTCATAAAACTGACTGCTATCAGAAATTTTAAGGGGATTAAAAAATTGTTTGATTATTTATTCTCAATTATAAAGTGATTATTTTAATTGCATTATAAAAAAATATATGAACCGATTAAATTAATAAAAAAAAATTAATGTTGGTGTAGTGGCAACATCAAGATATTTATAAAAAATTATTTCATTGAACATAAAAATGTCTCATAAACCCTATTGCTTATATGGAACAAGAATTATCATTATCTTAAAAACGAATAATAATTAATATTATTTTATCAATACGTACAATAATATGTGCTGCAAAACAATTTTGAGCAAATTAAATTATTAATAACAATTTCCAATTTGCTATAAATACTTGATGTATTAAAAAGTAAAACGGCTTGCCATAGAAGTGTTTCTGAAGTTCTATTCTTAATTTTTAAAAATTAAGAAATTTTTTCGCATGCTAAAATATAACATTAGTTAACGACGCGGCACCTCTATTAATTTATGTTAATAAGGTAAAGTACCCAGTACTTGAACAATTTTAAAAATGGCCCTCGTACTTGAATAGTTTGGAAATCCTTATATTATTAAAAAACTCCGGCCGTAAACATCAATATTTAATGTTTATTAAGATAACTTGATGTCTTAATTAATGATACAAGAAATATTTTTTAATGTCAAAGCTAAATATTATATTTTATTTAACATCTAATGACGAGATCATTGAAAGTGTCGATTAGTATCTATTTTTGAATGAAAATGATACCAAAACAATAGAAAAATGGCGAAATAACCCAAAATATTTGAGAATTCATCAAAAAAACTTAACCAATCAAAAAAATAGATCATTTTGCAAAATATTCTGTTGTTAATAAGGAGTTTTAATTATTTTTTTATATTTAATTTAGCTGTTCAGGTATACCTCCCAATTTCAAATGTAGGACCCAAAAGTTGAACGACATAGCGCCGTGTGTTCAAGTATACCGTCTCTCATTTTTACGTGACTGCAGTATTTGAACTGTCTAACTCAATGTTAAATAAATATTTAAAGTGTTTTAAAAAATACTTTTAATCGTATGGTAACAAAAAAATTATACAAATGAAGTAAATAAAAAAAACTATAAACAAAATTTATTATTTTTAGGGTGAATATTAGTGTTTGAGAAATAAAAAAAAATTACACGTTCTAACCTCACATTGTAAACAAATGGTAAAAATACATTTGAATGTTTCTTAAAGTAAAGGGCTTAAATGTATGTTCAATGTTAATTTAATAATATAATTTAGCAGATATTTGATAATTTTAAAAATTTTTTTAAGAAGTAAATTATGATAAAAAAAATTGACATTTAGAAATTTAAAAAAATTAAAAATGCAATTTTTTTAAAATAATTTTTTGGAACAAATTTATTTATTTGCTAAGAAAATTAGAAAATAGTCAAGTGACTGCTAACTTTAATGTCATTTATAATAAATACTTATTTTTGGGCCTGAAATCTCTTATTTTTATTTTAACACAAAGTGTCTAAAGCCATACTAAATGATTGTTCAAGTTCTAGTACAGAGGTGTTCGAGTACTGCAGCCTGTCACAGTTAAATGTTCAACTACTGAGGCTCTTGAAGGATTTTTTTAAATAATTAAAAAAAATTATTTTCTTTATGTAATTCCGATTTTTTTTTTAATATATTTAGAATGAAATATATTTGATTATATGTTGTTGATTCGTTTCAGGCTATTTCCAGTCGATACAGAAACACTTTTTTTGGTTGTAAAAAAATTTTTTCCCAGTCACACTTAAAAAATTTTTGACTTTGCTTACAGCACTTAGAAATTTTTATGAAAATGGAACTTAGAAAAAATTTTTGGTGTAAACTTGGTGTATACTCAGTGTATATACGCCGCGTATACACCGTGTATATTTGGTGTATACTTAGTGTATAGCGATCCGCTAGGGTTTGAACATATTATTGTACATGCAATTATTGTAATCCAAACTTACCCTTCAACTAACGTATTTGTAATTAAATGTGCAACATTGTCCCATAATGCAAATTTTACATCAGTTGTTATTGGTATAATACGGGTTAAATTATTAAGACTTCTCGCGAAAGCTTCAATTTCGTGATGAAGTACATCGATATAACTACTATGTTGTGACATAACATCTTTGATCTCCCAATTAACCTTATTCATTAGAGTTATAATATTGGTATCCTTGAAGTACTTCGATACAACAGCCATATATACTGGTTTTCGCAAATCAACTGCAGATCTTACAGTCTCTGTGTAAAATTGATCTAAGAATCCTTTTTCCGAATTTTCTGAAATCAGTCGTCTTAAATAACTTTGTAAGTTATCATACTGTTGACCTAAAAATATAAGTGATTCGACTCCAACAACTCGTTCAGCAAGCCCAAAAAAATTATCATCGCTATGAAGATCGACAACTGGTGATAAATTAAGTCTTCGTACTTTCAATGTTTCATCGTCCATATTTATTGTACCATCACGAATTAAGTTTTTCTCAATACGTGTCAAAGTTGATCTAAGCTTAGACGTATAGACTGATTTGCTAGTGATGTTGAAATCAGACGTAAAAAATAAATTGATGCAATACAGGTATAACTCAAAAAACTGAATCATACTTTGAATCACAGTTACAGCAATAGATGTTAGAAGTTTTGACATCTGTAAATATCTTCCGCAAACTCTGAGTACATTAAGAGTAGTATTAGTTACCATTGGGACAGCTAGTCTTGTTTTGATTTTTTTTTTTGTATAAAGTCTTTGAAAAGCATAGTTGAGGATGGAATCATGATTAATTTCATCCTCAGAATCTTCAGATATATAATCAACTGTTTTTTCGCCAATTGTCGCTAAAATGTCTTCATCTTTAGTATTATCAAATTTCGCATCTAGAAATGATAGATCACTTTCTAAGTATTTTCGAAAATTTTCGAAATTAGTCCAGATATCTTTGTTTTTTATACTTGTTGTATTCGTCGAACCTAACAATTCACTATCATTTAAAACCGATTCTAAACTCTTGAACTCTTGCAATTGAGTAGCAGTAAATGTAGATTTCACTGGGCACAACTCCCATCCATCATGTTCTAAAAATATACATAATTCATCTAACCGGGAAGCGTGGTACTGAGCAAAATACAGTGAACATTGCTCCTTCATAGATTGTTGAAGAATTTCTAATTTTTTACCGCAAAACTCTTCGCTGGCTTCCATTAACCTTAACATTTAAATTGATTATGTTCTTAAAAAATACTAAAAATTGAATACCGCACTGAAAAAAAAGTTTTTTTACTAGGAAAAATTTTTCCTCCTGTAAAGAAACTAGTATTCGTGTGGGAATTATACCAAAGTTCAATCCCTACAGCCATGCGTATTTTGAATCTAGCAAAACTTGGTTTTAGTGTCAGCAAAATACCAAAATAAAAATAAATTAAACTTGACCTCATTTAAATGACACAGATATTTCACACTGACAGTCTATTTTCTGTTTTGGTAAATGAACTAAAAAGAATTTTAGATATTACTTGATGAATATTAACCAACACTTTGATGCCTGAGTAAAAACATGTTATTTTATAGTATGAAAATTCGTAGACAAACAGAATACTGGCTCAATAATAGTTTCTACTTTATAAAAAAAAAAATTTTTTTTCACTGCGTAAAAGTCAAGTAAGGTTAAAGCACCAGTTATTGACAAAGTGAGGAAAAATGTTGATTTAATTTTTGTAAATGTGTCACGAGTTGATATTGCTTAATTTTCACCATGTGGTGTTCAGTCTTGTAATTGATTAAATTTATACTTTTTAACAATTTTAGAGTAAATTTATTAAATGCAATGGATTAAATGGATGAGATACATCAGTTATTGATGGATTAAAAAACTAAATGATTCAATTGTTGACGTATCATTGCACAAATCACTCACGCCTTAGTGCGTATGCATGATTGATTCGCTAAGACGAGAAATAAATAATCAAATATGATAATAAATGATTGTTGATCAATTCAATATTAATTGTTTTATTAGTTGAATATGATTAATAACTTAGAAAATATTAGAAGAAAATTTATTAATTTAAACCTTATGTTAGTAACCGGGGACCCGGATACCCACCGCGGTGTGTTTGTATGAGTAGCTCGAAGAAAATTCAATATTTCATTTGAAGGTCTCGAATAGTCGATTTTGAAATCAAAAGAAAACAAGTTGTGAGTGCATTTAATTGATTTATTTTTAACTTTCCGCTAAGAAAATCGAAGATTTTTTAAAAACGGGAAGTTATTGTTTCTACCCCGTTCTGCAGAAATCGAGTTTTCATCGGATCTCGACGTTTTAAGGTCACAGGAAGCTCCCCTGACTACCCCCGCGATGTTGTCACTATGTCTGTATGTATGTATGTATGTATGTATGTATGTATGTATGTATGTTTTTTTTTTTTTTTTTTTCCAAAGAGGTACGAAAAAAGATCTTCAAAAGACACCGCTATCGTTAACTCTGCCGCCCATCTTACGGCAGATATCGATAGTCGGTAGTGTGGAGATTTTTACCCACTAAAAAAAACATTCCTCTTCCCCTCTCCCCTAGATGGTACGGGGAGGACTGGATTGGAACCGCGTTAGCATTACTTCAATCCACCCGTGCTGCGTCTCACGACGCCTACTCCTGGCTACTGGTCTCTTTCTGCGATATTGTCTTTCAGGAGGTGCTGTGCATAAGCTGCAACAGCTGACCAGTTTTCCTCTTGTTTGATCATATAGGTCACCAGCCTTGAGGGGGAGAGCCTGCTACCAATGATCTCTTCGGTGCTTCTTCTATAGTCCTTCCACCGAGCACACTCGAACCCATCTTGAAGAGATAGGTGTTGTACTGCCCATGTCCTGTCAGTAGTTGGGTCAGGAAAAAATCTGTGTCCCCGTATTTCCGAGAGAGCCAGGCGTTGATGTATGGGATCAGTCGCGCTGTCCATCTGCCTGTCTCTCCCGACGTCCATCGGTCCTACCACTCTTGCTGCGTTTCCGTTTTTATCCTCGTTATTACCTCCTTCATGTTTTCACCACTGATTTTAGCGTCGTAGA